GCATTTGGTTTATACTAGGAAGATGTTTGGACATTTTTTTTCCTGTAAATGTTATCGACTATAGTACACATTTTTTTAATTACCGAATGGTTGTTTGGAGATTCAGATATCTGGCAAACGTCTTGACGAACGTAGGTAGAAAATTAATTAGAGTTTTGCAACATCAGTTTCCATATAAAATTTCAATTAAAGGATAAATGATTTGATACGACTGATTCAGAGTAAGTTATATTTTGTCTTAATCGAATTAGTTGGTATGGCGACTCTATGTAAGCATGGTCTTCCAGGGCACTTTGGCATAACTGCTTACTCGGCTTACTCGGTAATTTTTCCAATGAATATTCATCAATTTTTCATTCCTTTACAGCTTTAGAGTTTCAGGTTTTTTTTTTTTTTGGGTAGTTTTTATCAAAATATTCCAGCCAATGCAAGGCCTTACCTCTTATTTATTATTAGTTTTTCACGACATGATCACTGCAAGCAGTGAGCTTTCTAGTGTGTTTGAAAGCTCTTGGAGGTCACTGAGGTCAGTTGGTATTTGCTAATTTTACATGTTCATCAAAACTTGTTGAACGTAATTGTTGAAATCTTGTCGTGTTTATTATATCTATTGATTGCAAAACAAGTTGAGCACCTGATTATGTTACTAGGTACATAAAAATTGACATATGTAGAAAAGTTTCTGCCACAGTTTCTTTTGTTTTTTTTTTGGTCAGCATATTAGTTTCCTCGAAAGCATGCAGCAAAACTACAGAAAATAAGCTACCTTCTGACGAATTGGACTGTGTTTTATGCACTTGCTATTCAGTTTGTGCTTTACCAGGTGAGTTGGTGAAATGCTAAAACTCTTGCATAAGATTTCTTATGCTTAACAGTAAGATCTTGTTCTGCATACTTACAGCATTATCAGACAACAAAACAATAGAAACTGCTAATAATAAATTCTATTCTCTGTTTACCATGCAAAATCTTTAATATAAGACTTATTTAACTAATTTGATTAGATTAAAGAAGCTAGGTAAGTTAGTTAATTATAAGAAATATGGTATGCTTTTTTTAAAACACCATAATCATCTTTCCTAATATCCTTCTTTCCCTTTTACTTGATTATGGTTGAAGGAGTATCAATAGGAGTAATTTAAGAAAAATTGATAAATATGATAAATAGGTCTTACATTTAGGACCAATATTAACTCAACAATTAGGTTATATATTAAAGACCAGAGGAGTACGACTTTAAATATTAAAGAACATGATAAAATATTTTTACCCGGCATATTAAGGTGTGAAAAATTCTCAACTAGGCCTTATGTACATTCTTACTCCTTTCTGTCGCACTCTTTGTCTTGTCAAAAAATGGTGCACCTGGCAGGAGATTCAAATGATAACTTTCTTATCTTATTCTTATCACTGAAGAAGTGGTTTAAATGAACCTAATAGCTGTGTAGCATGAGGAAGTTTACCATTTAAAGATGGATTAGACATTGAATGAGTGAAATAGAAATGCTTTGGGCAAGTATTATTTGATATTCATTTAGGTTTCTCAGTTGGCTGTTTGACTGAACTTACTCTAAATAACATAACACTTGGGATGTATTCTTGCTAGCTGTTTGATGAGAAATCAATAAGATATGCTTTTTATGGTTTTTGTCAATGCAGATTACTTAAACCAGAGGGGGACAATGCATTTGCACAGAATTTACAATGAATGATTCACGGCGGTGCACGCATGTGTGCACATACTAATTAATATTAATTTGATTCGATGCGACTGTCTAATTACTTTTTCTTTTTCTTTTTTTTGGCAACGTGGAGGCCAAGTCCTTTTCTACATAAAGACCTCATAGGACAGACCCTTTACTTGCACAATTGCCTTAGGGAGACCCATTTCAAATTTTAAAACTTTCAAGTCAGTGCTAGCAGTGAATCACTTATTAGGACAAGTTGCTTACGATCCCAATTTATTACCCAGTGTCTTGTCCTTCCTAACAGTGCAACGTATCCTTTTCTTTTGACAAAAGCACAGAAAAAGAAGAGCACTCTTTCGGTCTTCCCCCGGTATCAATCTTCCCAATCATATCTACTTATATAACAAATTGCTCCACTTAATTGAAACATTTGTGGCAAAATTTCTTAACAATTTTATGCTGTGCAGGCGTTTGATCAATTTATAGATCTGCTTCTGTGAATTTGCCCATCGAGAATTTAGGGTGAATATCTTGTTTCCGAATCAAAGGCAAGTTTTTTACACCCAATTTCAATTTCTGATATGGTAGGAATTCTAGGGGACAAAAATTCCATCTCACCTGCTCACTAAAGAGTTCATATCGTGCCTTTAAATCTCGCAAAGGGCGCTTTATTTATGCATACAATGTCCATTACTGTGTTTTTCTTGATTGATACTGATGGAGGCTTGGTAGTATTTGATATTAAGTCCCATATTGAGTAGGCTGGGATGCTTAATAGGCATTTTAAGTGGATCGGTTGTCCTACCTCAACGGCCTTTTGGGTAGAATTCCCCATCCCATTAGCTACCTATCGATTGATATGAGAGCGACGTTGTTGATGGTTCCAGAGAGGGCTGTCATGATCTAATTGACTTTCAATCTTTACAATTCACCTGTGTAGCTTTCTGCATCTGTGAATTGGACATAATTTTTGCTATAATCTTTTCTTTATTGACATTTTATCTCACTATAGATCTTATCTGAAAAGTTCATAGCCTTTTTAGTCTTTGAAATATACTTTTACAATCTATTGAAGAAAAAATAAAAGATTCTTTGTTTTGGCCCACCCTAGTTTTATTCTTGAAGAAGCTTTCAGACAGGAAGTTTTATTAGATAACAATAAAGGTCTGTTGATTATAGTCTTGCCTCCCACTATTTATTAATTGAATTTAGTAATTATAATGAATATTCCAAGAGAGATAAATTTGACAAAAATGGCTAACTTAAATGAGAAACTATGGTAAGTCTTGATCTTCATAGTTTGTTATGAATATCCCAAAATTGACAACATGAGTCCATTTAGACAGAGATATTAGCAATTTGTAGCATGAGGAAGTAAATTGATGCCAATCATTTCCAGTAATTCAAAAGCTACTGTATGAAGAATCAAATATGTTTGCAAGAAGCATGTTACAAAATAGTTTTATTTGCATAGAACAAAGTTGTTGCTTTGGGTTTCAGTGATCTAAGACGTAGGGAAAGTAATTTTGTTTGGATCTTGTGATTTCAAGCAATAACTTTAAAGGAGTATTTTATCAAATTGAAGAACTGAATTATTACTTAACAAATTCAAATTAATACTGGGTGAGATCGCAGCATGTTGCAAAATGGCTAGATTCCGCAGAAGGAATTTTTTTGGTTAGCCTTCAGTGGACTAATAGTGAATAAAGGGAATGTAATTTGTTTGGGTATCGTGTTTTCAGACAACATGTTGCAGAATTGTAGATCTCTATAGAAGATGGTTATTGGTTTGGTCTTCAGTAGTCTGATACCACTTATAGGGAAGATTGTTATTGTTTTGGGTCCTGTAGTTGGAGCTGTTTGGCTACTTACTTTCTCAATTTATACCAGTGTACCAAGGTTGAGGTGGGCAGATATGATGGTTGATGAAAATTCTTTTTATCCAGATCTCTCTTTCTTTCTCCTTTCATCTATCTTTCTTCTTTTTCATGACAAATGGTATTAGAGCAATAGTCCATCGACCATGAAGCCATGTGTTTAAAAGCTCCAATGAGAGAGCGAGGGGGCCAAATTTGTCTTCCTATGGAGCAGTGAATTGCATATTTGATCGATCAAGTTCTGTCAAGAATGGAGCACAGGATGTCAAATATTCTAGAACTGACAAAAGAGATATCAAAATAGATAACCTAGTTGATGAGGTCAATGGTATCAAGTGGACAGCGTGTTGGGTATTCATGGGCAGGTGAAGACTCTTATCCACTTGATCATCCCCTGAGGAACTTCCAAAATCTTTTCCAGGGAATGTGCTCGGTGAGTTCCAAGGTAAGATATGTACATATTAGTGATCAAAAAGACGAAAGATCCAATAAAGGATATGATGCCACTGAGGCAAGGGGGAGAATTAATGAACATTAAGACTGAATATGCTATCTTTTAAGGTGTATCTTACTTAAATCGAGCTGATCAGTTGCTTCCTGCGTGGACGAAAGGAGGAAATTTAGCAATGGGGTGTGGCTATTCAGACCACAAAACAGATGAGAAGTAAGTTACCTGGGTAGTTGGAACTTAGGGCTAATTACTCTCTCAATATATACCATTATGACAAGGGCTGAGGAGGAAGATATGACGGTTAATAATGATTCTTTTCATCAAAATCTCTCTTTCTCACACCTTTCATCTCTGTGTGTGTGTGTGTGTTGTTCTGTTTTTTTTTTCAGTAACAGTTTTTCAATTTATGAGGGACCACTCACTGCTTATGTGAAGAGTAAACATTTAAATGTTGCCTCGTGTAACAAATAGTGATACAAATGAACAGTTTGGTCTTCCATTAATATTCATTTTTTGATCCATTTAATTTGATTTGCTGATTCATCAGTTAGTTAAATAACTCAATTTATTTTTGTGGATTTATGATCATAAAATTGATTTACAACATCGAAGTACTCTTCCGCAACAATACAAATAGGGGAATCTCCTGCTCAACTCTGTCTAAGGACTGGCTTAGCCTAAGCAGCCTGCTTCCGTTTTTTCATCACTTAAAGATTAGCAGTTGTAACTACCATAGAAGGAGTTAAAACTCTTTGCATGCTTTTATCAGAGCCGAGCTGTTTGTTCCTCATCATTACTCTAGGAAAGTTGCTGGGACTCGGCATTTGAATAATTTCAATAAAAAGATGGGTAGAAATACAAAATGAAAGGATAATAATCTGCATATGGTTATAATTTTTCAGTCAGTTCTTTTTCCCTGTCGCAGATATTTTGGCACAGAGGTGACAATAAGAGAGGAGAATCTTGAGTCACTAACTAAATAATATGGCCTACGCACTTAGGCAAAGAAAGCAAAACACTAATTATGCAGATTCGGACAGTCCTGGAAGTGATTCAGTTGGTTCCGATACAGACTATTTATCAGGGAGCTTTAGTAGACAAAAACGGAGAAGGAACTTGACATTATGCTCTCCAGCTACTAAGGAGACTAAAACGGCAAACTCAGGTGTAAATTTGACAGCAAGGCGTCGACGAGGTCGAACCTCAAAGAAGAGGGCACAGGAAATAAAAAACAAGGAAGCCAGTAATGCTACAAGTTCAAACAATAAAAACGGAACATTATCTGCTGAACAACCAAGTTCAAACAAACTAACCATTTTATCATGGTTGTTAGATTGCAATGTTATCAAGAAGGGTGAACATGTCACCTACTCGAATAAAATAAAGGGAAGTACGGCAAAGAGAGGAACAATTGCCGGAGGTGAAATTCTCTGCAGCTGTTGCCAGAGGGAATATTCTGTGTGGGCCTTTGAGAAACATTGTGGAAGTGACCTTAAACAACCTTATGAACATATATACCTTCCTGAAAAACAAAGATATCTTCTGGAGTGCATGGTGATCGCTTTGTGTGAGAACAGTGAACCGAAACATCAGGAAACACATTCCTTTGTATCCAAGAGAAATGCAGGAGATAAACATGATTATGCTTGTCCTGTTTGCGGAGATGGGGGAGAGTTGATCTGCTGTGACAAGTGCCCCTCCACATATCATTTAAACTGTTTGAATTTGGAGGTAATTAAAATCCTTTTCGTTTTCTTTAAGGGTGGATTTGGGGGATCTCCTTGAGTATTTGGAATTTCTTTTTGGTGTAAGTTTGGAATTAGTTTTTTGTTTATGGTTTAATATTTCATTTTCTGAACAAATATTGTGGATTCATGGCGTTTGAGTTGCAGAGGCTTCCTGAAGGAAAATGGTTCTGTCCTTATTGTGTATGCAAGCATTGTGGGCTTAGTGATAAAAGCAAGCAACTGATTAAGTGCTTCCAATGTAACAAAAAATGTAATATTTTTTCCTCATAGTCCATTAAGCATCCTTATATAGAGGTCTTGCAAAGATTTACTGCTTTTTTCACATTTCTATTTTCCCTCCAAGTCTCCAACTTGGTATTACTGACAAAGCAATTTTCCGTGCTTCTGTAGTTGACTGGGGATGCTTTAAGGAATTTGAGAAAGAAGCTCTTAAAGATGCCTTAGACATTGACTGTTCGAGATTATACTGTCAGCAAAGTTGTAGAAAGGTATTATTCTGTCTAAATATGTCTGGGAACTCTATTTATTGTGTACTACCTCTAGTCCAAAATATAAGAACTAGTTAATAGTGTAATTAGGTCTTAAATATAGGACCAGAGGTAATAAAAGTTTTGGGGGATTTTATGCAAACATAGAAAGTTTCACTTCTCAAGGGGCTGAGATTTTTCATGTATTTTGACATTCTTGCTTTACTTGTTTCAAATTATAATTCAAACCATGAAATTTTAAAAGTTACTTTTAGCAATAAAAGAAACTTTGAGTGGTCATGCTCTCTCCATGGATTACTCTAAATACAATGTCCACCACCTTTACTATTCTGACTGTCTGCTTTGTGAAAGACCCATGAGAAATTGGAGAGTTTAGTTGGAGTCAGGAATGAAGTCGATGAAAGCTACTCTTGGAGAGTTATTCGTCAAATGGAGAAAAGAACATCAACTGTCTCTGAACACCAATATGTTGAAAATAATGCCAAGGTTGCAGTTACATGGAAATTAATGGATGAAGCTTTTGAGACAATAGTTGACAGATATACAGGCCTCAATGTGGTTCGAAGTGTACTATGCAGTCTTCGGTAAGCACATTGATGGCGTTTTTCTACACTGTTACTCAGCTTTTCATACTTTGCACTTTGACCTATACAACTTACTGCTGCTCCTTTCGTCAACATATTTTATTTTTTCATTCAATGCTTCTCTGATTCTATATATTCTACTGCGACCACTTCCATGCTAATATCCAATTTAGTGCCTTCTGATCATTCCTAATTCTAATGCAATTCAGGTCAAAGTTACCCAGGGTTGATTATAGCCGTTTCTATACGTTTATACTGGAAAAGGATGATGAAATTGTCTCTGCTGCTTCTGTGAGGTGTGTTTCTTTTCTTTTGCTTGTGAACACACTTTTTTTAACACCAGGCCCTCGTCCCTCGCTACTTACATGTAAATCTTAAATTCTGTATCATCTGAGATTAAGTTGAATATTTTATTAAACTTCCACAAATTAATTCTATAGAATCCATGGGCGGAGGCTTGCAGATATGCCCTTTATGGCCACACATAAAAATTATCAAAGAAAAGGATACGGTAGATATCTTCTGGCAGTGGTGGAATCGGTAAGTCATAAACAAGGTCACATAATCTCCTCTTGTATCTTAATTCAACCAAGTACAGCCGTGCAAAGGTTATAATAAAGGTTCAAGCATCAAGTTAAATTTTCCCCTGGCATTCATGAAAGTATTCTTTCTTCTGAAACTCCTTAATTTTTTTTTTTTCCCCAATATAATTGCCAAAAAAGGTAGATGTTTCATTCTGATTCAGTTCTGTGACTGGTAATTAAATTGTCAGAATCATAAAAGTAATTGAATTTCTTGGTATGATCTTTTAGGTTATGAAGGTTCCTTTTCCCTTTCTTTGGCTTAGCCCCCTCATGTAATTTGATTAGGATATTGATTTGTTTAGAGTAATATTGAAAAGTTCGTTATACTGACAGCTTTTTATGATGACTAACTTTCTAGTTGCTCCGCCATCTTGAAGTGCAAAACTTAATTATTCCCTCCATTCAAGAGCGCGGTAGCATGTGGCGGGAAAAGTTTGGATTTGGTGATCCAAGTTTAGAACTGAGAAGTGAACTAGCGTCATGTAGTATTTTAATGTTTTTTCAGTGTTTAATGCTGTGGAAAGACTTAACATTGTCGCCCGCAAAATCAGGTCAATAACTCTCTCTCTCTTGTGCATGAAGTTCTGCTCCCTCATTTTTTCTTCACTCTCATCTTCCCCTTCTACAGTTAGCAATGACCAAAAAGAAGAGAGGCAAATTGGCATTCTGAATGTCGAGGAACCTCGAAATAATCCAATGGACCGTTCCCTTCTAGACCTTAACATACCCCTCCTGAAGAATGCACAAGGACTGTGGAAGATGATGCGTAGTTCGCGGCTAACGTTGCTGATTGAGTAGTTCTTGGCATTGAAACTGTTAGTGGCTGGTGTTGATATTCCTACCTATCTAATTGGAGAGGTTCAAATAAATGTTTCTTTTGGTAAAAACTTTCAAGAATGTTTGGTAAAACATTCTTTTCCTGATTTACATTTTATTTTAGGATTAATTATTATACTGGATGACATCTTTGTGGGTCAGCTTAAGTGCTCAGCTATCATATTCACCAATCTTTTAAAAAAAATCCCTCCAGTGTTGAACAATATCAATATGCACTAGTCATTTCGTAGTAGTAACAGCTGTTCTATGGTCTCACAAAGCTTTCGTAAGCCTTCATATGGTGTCTTTTTGTTCATCAAAAGACACCAACAGCAACAACTATGCTCCAGTAGATAGCAAGAGCTTCCTGCATTCGAATGAGGAACAGTCATGGTCATGAAATTAGTATTCATGAGTTTGGTACACATGCCAGTCAACGCACTAATTGCGAATTTGAATCCAGCAATTGTATCTTTCTTGAAGCAGATTTCCTTGCCACAGTTCATTTTCAAATACTTGGTGGATTTTCAAAAATTGCCTATGATGTTATTCATTTAATTTGTTTGTGAGTTAATTCACTCTGCGGACTGAAAAATCAATATGAAGTCTTGCGAGAGGTCAATGAATTTACCTATTAGTCTTTTCGATACACACGCTAATCTCTATGTTAATAGGGATATATTCCAATGCCCAAGGCCATTCTTATGATTATGATTAATTTTCATCAACGTGTTACTCAAATAAGTTCGATGTGTTTTGAGAGAACCATCTCCCCCTTTTTTAATCTCGTTGGCTTGTTGCCTCCCTTCCTATAAACTATGTTTATTCCCTAAAATCTTTAATATTAAGGCCCAAGAAAGAGCATATTTCAATGTTATGGTTTCATCCGCATCGTCACGGGAAACCAAAATGTCACCCTCGACAATAAAAATGAGAAGTTTACCTTTTCAAAATTTGGATTTTGAACAGTCAGTGCACCGTCTAGTTAGGCTATGAAAGGATGTTTTAAAAATATGTTACAAGACTGACAATACTTACCCTCCGTTTGGATGGGGAAAAAAGTTGGGAAAAAAGAAAATGAGAGGAGAAAACAGGGAGAAGAAAAAACTGGAGAGAAAATATTATCACATTTCATATTTGGATAGACAAGAGAAAACAAAAATGAGAGAAAATTAGTAAATATATGAATAACTAAAATACCCTTGCTACTATATCAAAGTATATCTTGATTACAATCAAATTAAATATCATAATAAAAAACCATACATTAACATAATCAAATCATTTAAAATCAAATTATTTGATAAAGATATATTATCATGTTGTAATATTTTAACATCAAATACTTTTGTACAAGAAGAAAAAAAAAAAACATTGTGTGATGTAATGCTAAAAAACCACCTTTCAGTTTATTTTAGAAGGATTTTTACAATTTTAGTTATTTTATTTTTCAATCAAGCAAACACAAAAAATAATAATAATAAATAAAGTGAAAAAGAAAAAAATAAATAGGCATTATTTTGCTGAAAAGACACATATAAGGGTGACGAGGGAAAATATATGGAGAGAGAAAAGTTGGAAGGAAAATAGGATGTAAGACTCACCTTATTTTCTTCCCAACTATTCTTTCCTCTCACTTTTCTTCCCTCCTTTCCAGTTTTTTTTCTTCTCTCATTTTCTCTCCATCTAAACATAGCATTAGTGATTACTGGGTTTTAAAGGGACAGACGAGAACATAAAATTAAGGTAGCTTAGATGAGAATTTGGTGTAATATCTATTAAAGAAAAAAATGACAAAAAAATCTATCAAAGTGATTAAGGTACGTACAAAAATGGCCGCCAATGAGGGGGTGAAACAGACACCTGACTTGGTGATACGAAGTTTTGACAGATGCCACAAAGCATTAAAAAACGGTTGAGAAGGAAAGACCAAATTTCACTTATATAACAAAATGATACATTACATCGTTCAAATGTAGTTGAAAAAATAATTAATAAATTACGATTGGAAATACAAGAATAAGATTGTTACAATCAAGAAAAATACAAAGGGAAGATGGTGTGAACTCTGTCCCTTGAAGCAGTTAGCCTTTAATCTTCAATTTTTGCTCTCATCAGACACCTCGTTTCTGAAACTATCTAGAACTATACTGCAGTTGTTCATTGTGGAAGCATCAAGAAGGCCATGATTCCAAAGTTTGATCATGAATAGCCTCCAACACCTGCAGCAAGAATATTCAACTTCAACTCAGAATTCCGAGAATAGGCTAGTACTTAGTAGCAGGCGACCAAAGAACAAATAAATAAACAAATAAATGGTTAGGCACTTCAGGTTTTGGTCTCATAAAACCGAAATGAGGAAGAAAACTATGATCAAGGCATTGGGTACTCATCAAGATAACGACCATATAACACTTGTATGTAGGTTCGGTTAGCATCTCTGAATTGAAGGACAGGAAGTGGAAACAGAAGTTAAGATTCTGTTGTTTGGCATCATTGATTGCATGTGGAAGCCAATGCCGTTGAAAACCATGGAACTGGCTTCCTCACCAGTAACCCATCATGATAGAAGTCTCCAAAACTTCATGTGACACATCTGCCCCACCTCAAACTCCACTTCCCTTGCCACTTCATTTTGTTCCTTTCTTTTATGTGCGTGCGTGTGTGTCCACAACACAAACCAAACATCCCCTAAAGGAAAATTAATCAATTCAAGCAGGAAAAACAAAAGTCGTACCAAAATAATGCAGGAGATGAGATCAACTCCTTTCCATGAAGCTTGGAAAAGGCCTCACAGGCCCAGGGAACATGACCATCTGCCAGCACACTGCCACGATGAAAAAATACATGATAAGTATGCACATTATACAGATCATTAATTTCACTCTACGTGCAAGAACCAGCTAGCAACCCAGTGTTACTGGTAGGAAGAAGAGAAACAAATAAGAATAGAAAGTATAAGCATCCTAATAGGGGAAGCAGTAGTCACCTTTGCCTCCTCACAAAAGAATTCCAGAGATGCATGAGCTGCTTTTCATCTTTGGAAACGTCAACAAAATCATCAAGCATCTGCAACATGACAGTTTGATTTTAGGTTTTGGGGACTAATCTGACCAAGTTCATAAAAAAGAAATACCCAAGAGCAAAGCTGCCAAAAACCTTGAGGAGCAATAGGATACAGAGGGTACAAAAAGAGCCAAAAATTCATGTTAAAAAATGGGGGGATGTCTTCAATAAATATTAGTCATTGTGACTCTTAGTATTACACAAAACTCATGAAGACCAACGTAGTATGAGATGCCAAGTCTTATATTGAGTAGCTTAGTTGGGGTTTTCCAGTAGTTGGCCTCCACCCCCACCCCAAACAGCTAGATTTACAGGGAGTCAAAACCGCACTTAATTATTTGCAATTGCCATCAACGCTGGTGGTTTGCTGTTATAGAAAGGGCACCCACTGAGAGCTCTAAACACTAGTGGGGCCAGTTGAAGGAAGCTAGGGTAGTAGGGGATGCCTAGTTCCCACCTTAGATGGGATGATCAATGGGATATTTAAGTGAAACATAATTCTTATGTTCCTTACAGTATTGTCTTATGTTGGATGACAATTTCAATTTGATAAAAGAATGGAGAAAAGGAAATAGAAACTACAAATATTTTTCAGCTTACTCTTCGATCTTCAAGATCTGCAATGTCATCATCAACTTCATCTTCACTGTCTCGATCTGATAACACTTGTTCCAGTGCCATAGGCTTCAAATACCATAGAGCAGAGTAAGACGGAGAAATGAGAAGCAAATTAAATCAACTATAGTATGCCACACCGAACAAGCATTTAATATTGAAAACAAGAACTACTACAACAACAATCCCTATACCACCAGCATTTAACATTAAACACAGTTAATCCTATGTCATTAAAGCTAGATTCACATGCAGGGAAACCACATGAGTAGAATTCAATTAGAAACCATGCTAAACAGAACAAACAATAAGTATCAATCTCTAGTAAAACTAACTGCTTAGACATCAAAACATCCATAGAAAGTCAATAATTCTCTCTACCATGCTGGAAAATGAAACCCCACGTGAAAATAAATTAACTAGCCAAAGGAAGGGAAGGACCCAAGGGGGAAAAAAATTCAAAGAGATCTAAGAAAACTAGTCACCTGAACTCTGTGAGAGTGAAAGAACTGTCTTTTCTGCAGGAGCATACGACTGGAGAAACAAAATTTTACAGGAAAAAATAGATTAGCACACTTATTAGGAACTTGACAAGGATAACAGGAATTATTGCCATGAATAATCTCTTTCAAGCTAATCCTATAGTAGAGGAATTAAATTGATTTAAGAGACAATCTTCAGATATTTTCCATCATATGGCTGATGCCAAAGGTAACAAAAACATCACATAGGCATGGTTAGAGAAACATCATTGCAAAAGATAGGTATCATATTCAGAATTCGGTTATAATCTGACATGCAAAGAAAGTAATTACAATATAATATAGACATTACATAGAACCAAGCTGACGGAAGAAACATCATTGCAAAAGATAGGTATCATATTCAGAATTCATAGCATGCACCAAAGAGATTGTTCATAACATGATAAGTAAAGGGGAGAAATAATTTTTTTTTTCCAATCATACAGCCAGCACGCTTTTTATCTTTTGTCAAAAACAAATGAGTGGAAAAAATTAAAACTCAAAAACTGCAAATACACACACACACACACACACAAGGTTTAAGTCTTTTCTAAAAACTGAATATCATTCTTAAAAAAACTAATCACAAGAATAAAAATAAAGAAGCAGGCAGTAGGTTATATGAGAATACTTTCTTGAGTCTGACCGATCAATGTTCATCTTCCTTGTCTTGGCAGGCAAAGCAGAATCACATCTAGATACTGATTTATTACATTCAGGGTCCCTAGAAGTTTGGGGCATGGCAATTGGAACACCTGGAATGTTGAAACTAGAAGC